TATACACACACACACACAGGGAATACATGTACCTAGTAATATATAGTAACAATGTCAGCTTGGGCTTTTAGCTCTCAACTAGTAAGAGCTAAAGCAGCTGAATAAAATATCTAAAATTAAATTATGTGCAGGAGGTGAATCACTGAAGTCCTCAGACCTCTAGCACCTCCCAGAGGACAAAGTTTTAAGTAAAACAGAGAAAAACATTTGCCTAATCTTTTTAGATTATTATAATATGATATTTTATTTCCCTAGTTTCAGCCTTCTTGTGTTGGGTAAAACAAACAGATTAGGACGTGTGTGTTACCGCTGTCTGCAGGATCATCCACAGGTTCTTCCTGTTCTAAAATGGTCTCCACATGTTCCCTTTTTAGTGCTTTAATCTGTAAATACAACAATATAAAAAAAAAATACAATAAAAAAATAAATAAACACAAATGAATGAACACCCTCCAAGAATGATGGCTCTGCATTTTCCTCCTCCTTACCCCTCCAAGGAAGTTCTCATCCCGGAGTCTGTCTCTGAGCAGCAGGATGTCTGCATGCCGGCTGTCCTCTGAGCTCCATCTCAGGTTCTGTCGGATGGTCAGAGTCAGGTTCCCCGTGTCGTGGCAAAACCTCAGCAAGCGGGACTGATCTGCCCACACCTGGGAAAGACCTGCTGGAGGCGTGGCTAGGGGGTTGGGTGGACTGTAATGCAAATATTTATTTAGTTTATTTAGCACATCTGCCAAAAAAATACATTCAAAAACAAAAAAGGAAAAGTCCAGTCTTAGATCTGAATATTAGAAATTAGGAAAATTGTGAGAATCTGTGTGTTATTTGTGTTTCATGTTTAGATTTTCAGATCCTTGTGTTTCCTGCTCTCCCCTGTGTTTTCCCTCCTTGCTGTCAGCTCCTGTCTCACCTGTCTCAAATTAACCCCATGTGTCCGTCATGTCTCATTTGTGTCCTCTATAAGTTCTGTGTCAGTTTGTTTCTTCCCTGTCCGCGGATTGTCCTCCCAAGGTGTTCATGCTCTGGTTTCCTTCATGTCTCCCTGATCCTGAATTTCATGTAAGTTTCTGCTGCCTCGTCAGCCTTTTGTTTTCTGGTTTAATAAATAATTTTCTTATTTTATCCTTGAGTTCTCCATGTACGTCTGCACCCTGGGTTCAACAAAACCACATATCATGATAAAATTAAGAAAAATTAGGAAATACAACAGCAAATTTAAAAAAAGGCAAACATGCACCAACCCAAATATATGGAAATAAATAAAGCATTTTAATAAGCAGACATCAGAAATGTACAAAGAATTTAAATCACTCAACAGAATTTCTTGTGAAAGATAGGAAATCAAACTCTCAGGCCAAAGCTTAACTTTTCTAAAGAATTATGACATTTGTTGACATTTTTGGACAAATTGCTGAAAAAAACACTGCAGTGTGCTACAGGGGCTTGTTTCTGAAGCATGCACATGTGCTTAAAAGACAAGCAAAAGGTGTAGTTTTTTAGCATTTATGTGGTGAAAGTCAACTAAAAATTTAACTTTTTCTTTCTTTTTTTTTTGTATTGGTATATGGCCTTTCCTGTGCTGTGTACGACAAAATCCCCAAAACAACAAGCTTTGTTTAGCAAAACACAGATATCTTTAACATTCGTCATAAACGCAGTGTGAACAACACAGTAACATCTTACTGTGTGAGCAGCTCCAGGAGCTCAGAGTTGCCTGTGGCCTGTGCTAGCTGCAGAGGCGTGACTCCATCTTCGTTTGGCAGATTGATGGCCATCAGCCCCCCCGGCTGGCAAAGCAAAAGCTCTGCAAGCCGATACAGACCCCATCTTACAGCCAGGTGGAGCGGAGACTCTCTGGGACTGTGTTCTGGACAGAAGATAACATACACAACATTGTTTGAGCTCAATGTGTGACAGAAAAGAGATAGATGCTGCAAGAAATATGAGAGTAAAATTATTAATACAAAAAAAAATGCCTATGACTGAATGGGGAAAAAAATGAAAATGAAATTCAAGAAATCTGGTCTTTTTATTGTGTAGCCTTAAATCACTTTGCTTTACAAAGACCCTCTGCCCGTTTTCAGTTAACCTATATTTTGTTAAATATAAATAAACTTAAACATTATTTATTTGAGAAAATTCATAAATTTGTTATTATTCTTTAGCACATTAAATGCCAGACATTAAAAGCAGAGAGACGGTTTGGTGGGAATGATGTGAATTTTTTTTCAACCTTTATTTGCACTTCCAATAGGACGAATCATATTTAACATTTAAGTTATATCGCCTGCCTCCTTTCATGTCGGCATTTTAGACAAAGATCCTTTTATGTTGAGAAATCACAGAGTTATAACTGTTTTAAGTCAAACTTTGAAAATAACATTATTCACAATGTCATATGATGATCCTACATGATCTGTTGGTGGAGTATGCATTCTGAATGACTAGCAACTAATTATAGCTCAATATAGAACTGGTTGAGGAAAAGTCCTTTTTTTGTTTTAAGGTCCGTTGACTGTGGTGGCCATCTTGGATGGTGCTTCCTCCAAAAGGTTAATCAGTTGTAAAGGTTCAGCTAATGATTCAGACAACAAATTAAAACACTATTGCATTTGCAAGCAAGCAATAATGATTCATAAATATACAAAAAGATAGTGTTGTAGTACCACTTTTTGATGGTCTCGGTCTTGTCTCTGACTCGACCGCATTTGGTCTCGGTCTTGTCTTGGTCTCGGACATTGAGGACTCGGGATTTTATTTCAAGACCAATCAAGACCACAACTGTGGAAATATCACTAAATTGCCAAAATATTGTCCAGTTTATTTGTTAACATCTTTGTTTTTATTGGATGCAAACTGTACTGATTCAAATCCAAATGATAACGTGACTCATTGCTAAATACATGTTTTTGTTACCGCTGTCACCAGATTGGGCGATTTACTGCCAATTGGGCGGTTTTCATTCTGATTTTGCTGGGAACTCTGGGAAGATTTTTGTTGGATTGTTGCATTTTGCCACATATTGTTAAATTACCTTGGCTTGTACTGATGTACATTCATGTTCAAACAGTAAATATAATATAACAATACATTTATTGGGCAGATTTTTGTCTGATATGGCTGTTTTTAACAGATTTTTGAGCTGGAAAACCTCGACTATCTGGCAACACTGGTCACTCCAAGAAAATGAGAAGTGATTGTCTGGGCGCGGGAGAAGATGTCTGCCATGTCATCAGTTAATAATTGTGGCTATTTAAATCACAAATAATATATTTGTAACTAATGCAACTATATGGTTATCCTTGGTCTTGAGTTGGGACTTGTGAAGATTGTTTTGCCACTGCAGTTTTTTAAGGCTTGGCATGTGATGAAACTGCTTCCAATTTAAGTTGTGTACTTTTATTGTTGAATCACATGAAGTTAGGCCACTGAATGTCTGATTTCTTTGTTATGTAGCTTTGAAAAATTATAAAAGCTGATGTATTCATTCAAAAGCAAACTTAAAGTTGCAGTATGTAACTTTTATAAAAAAAAAATTATAATAAAATTTTATATTTTATTTATTTTATTTGAGGTCTTGGTCTTGACTTGGTCTTGGACCCTGAAAGTTTTGGTCTTGTCTCGGTACACTCTGGTCTTGGTTTTGACTTGGGTCTCAGGTTAGGTGGTCTTGAACACAACACTATAAAGAAGTACATTCACCTAATTGATAAAGCTATTTTAACTAGATTTTTGTGATGTCAGTTACAAGGCGTAAAACCAAAACCAAAATAAAAATCTAAATGTGCTGAAATATGCCACTTAAAAAATAAATAAATCTATTTTCAACCTAATTGGGTAAAGTGTTTTATAGGAGCACTTAAAACTTTTTGACTGAAGCATATTTTAGTCCGTTTTTCCAATGCTTAAAAAACACTTAATGCATTGCAACTAAATGATATCTGTTAAAAGTCAGGGATTTATAGTTGAGGTGAATAAAATTCCAACATTAAAGTGACATCACCAGCATCGTTACCAACAAACAGCAGACACTGAGAGGGAGACGTACGCTGCAATCAAACAAACTACCATAACTATATTACTGCTAAAATCTAGTTTATGTGGGTGGCCTTACACAAACACTGGAATCACATAAACAGATGGTGGCATCTAGTAAACATGGAGGTCTGCACAGACTGAAACCTTATACACACACACACACACACACACACAGATTTAACCTCAGATTTATTAGGATGAGCCTGAGGTTACTTCCAGATGGAAAGGCTCTATTAACCGCATTATGTGCTGCCTAATTGACTTTGATGAAGTTGACAGAAGCACACATGTGACCATGTTCACTTCCGATTTCAGCCCTTAGAGCACAGAAAATGGGGAATGATGGTGTAGGATGGTGTGGAGGACAGCAGAGTTGAAGAGTTCACCATCCATGCACAGCGCTGCCTTCAGGTTTCCAACACTTGAGAGGTTGGATTGTCCAGATATTTGTAAAAAAATAAAATAAAATGCAACCTCTCAGCTTTGCACAGCTGAGTTCATGCTCCTTTTATGCAGGCAAACATTCAAGAATTTCAGCATGTGGGCACACACTGGAATGTACTTTGTAAAGTAGGACAGTCCGGGTCTCACCGTCTCCACAACTGCTGCCAAGAATGTTCCACTTTGGAGGAATATCCAGGTTGGCCATGGCCAGAGCCACTTTATGGTCCATGGCCCAGCGAGAGCTCTCCTGTCCCAGGCTGAAGAGACTGCTGAGCTGCTGGTGATCTGTGGAGCTCAGACAATGTCCATGTACTATGATGTACTCTGCAAGATCCTGAGGATGAACCAGTCACAGAAAATATAGAATCAGTAACTAATAAAAGGCAATTAAAAAAAAACAAACTGTTTGTTTAGGCACCATTGTCCACTGATAATACTGGGAATGCTGATTCAGCTCTCACTATTGTTTTCTTGTTTTTTATTTTTCCGTACATCTTTTGAAATATAACCACTTCTACTACAGCACTACTTTAGCCATTCATATGTCAAAATGTTTAGCTCGTTCAGATTAGTGATGTGACGTTTTGTTTTTGTAACTTTTATACTTAGCAAAATATTTAACTTTATATGCAAAGATTCGTTCAGAAACATTGTTCTATGAAATCAACGTGATCTGTGTTCTTTCTTTGCCTTCTTTTGCTATTCTTCTTTTTTCCTAGCCTTTTGCTAATTTCAGCTTCTAACTAAGCTTTTGATACATTCAGCCTATCTTTTGCTACTTTTAGATTCAAGTTCAAGTTCAACTACTCGGTTTCAAATATTCACATTTCAGCAAAGTAAATAAAGACTCAGCATTCACACTGCCATTTTAACAGAGAATGCCATTTATTTTGTTTATATGTATATTTCTATTGCGCTAAAACACATACTTTAATCACATCCTTCAAAATCTCACTTGATAAAAGTTTCTTCTACCCATTTGTAATTAATCTGTTTAACTTAGCTTAATTCTTTAAGATTTTTGAAAACCTAATTGTTATCTTCCAGAACATTAAAGTTTGGTTAAATTGTATCCACAGAAGAACTAATTTATTTTATATTAAAAAAAGATACGCAACTATATGTAAATAAATAGAGCAATAAAGAGGTTTGTCTTCCTTACCTGAGCATCATCTTGCACATACTCTAATAAAGCCCCACCTACCCAGGTGAGAGGTGTAGTTTCAGAGCACATGTAGGCCTGAACAGACACCTCCTCAGCCAAATTATGGCCTGAAGAAAGAGCAAAGGCAAGATTTTACTCAAAACATACTTTATCTGTGTGATAAGTAAAAATACTCAATGACATAATAAAGATAAAGTTCTGCAGAAAGTGGTGAAAGCTGCACAGAAGACTGCTGGAGTACATCTACACCTCCAAATGCAGGGCGAGGGCCATCTGCATCATGAAGGACCCCACTCACCCAGCACACACACTTTTTGCCCCACTCCCCTCGGGCAGGAGGTTGAGGAGCATAAAGTGTAGAACCACTAGACTGAGGAACAGCTTCTACCCTGAGACTGTTAGACTCATGAATCTCTACCCAGAAAAAAATCACTGTAATGCCACTTTAATTGGTGATATGTTACTTTATATGTGCTGCTGATTATCCATGCTGCTGATTTATTGCTTTAAAGCTGCTATATTCACACCCATCTTCTCACAGCAGACTCATGTTCAGGCTGCTGTTTAATACACTATTTTATATTACATAATTATTTAGTGTATATCTTAGATCCTTGTATACTGGTTTTTTTTATACTTTAAATTTTTGCTATTTTTGGGTGTAAATGGGACCTTGAGTACACAATTGTGTTCCACCTCGTACCGCATGTGATGTGAATGACAATATACAGTTAGAACCTTGAACCTTGACTAAAAAAACACAATTTAAAAAAACAATTTTTATGTTTATTTTATGTACAGCATCGGTAACTGATTCTACTTATGCGTTCCTCTTCCAAGATTCAGTTTTTAAGGCAACCATTCAGTTTATACAGTCAAGCAGAATATACCCAATAAATGTAAATCTCTTCTAGGAAACCCACTGAAATAAAATTATTGGAAACCCATTTAATTCTGCACAAAGGCTCAACCATGTTAACATTTTATTCATGGAGCTTTTTCCCATCAAGATAAGACTGACCTTCAAGACCTCTATGAGGGTGACTGTGTGTGTTCTAGACTCAGATATTTCCAGTGTAATAATATATCACAGACAGTAATAAATCCTTGGATTGCCAAAGCAAAACACTCAAAAGTACATGAAAACACACAGATAATAAAACGGCGTATTTGCACATGGACATACCAGGTACGATGAAGCAGAGCATGACATCATTCTGAGCCCTGGTTACATGGACCAGTGTGGATCCTTCCAAAACTACAAACACCTCAACATCTTCTGGCACTGAGTCCAAGCCCTCCAGTAGTGCAAATACCTTCGCCTCACCCTGAGATAATAGAAAATAAAAAAGGAAGATGATGAATAACCCAAAACTGTATATTTTTTTATAGGTTTATAGGCTCATTTACGTTTAGACTTTAGGCTGACGTGGTCTTTTTAATTTCTGTCAAGTACACCAAATCCCCTGACAGCATTCCTCGGGGGTACAGTGAAATATCCCCCCTCAATAAAACTGGAATCCCTCAGCGTGTTTCGTACAAAGACCTGCCCTGATCCCAACGAGCCAGAACATTTGTAACTTTTCATCTGAGGCAATAGAAAGAAACCTGTTTTTATACTTTTACCATGACAACTTAATATATTATAAAGAAAATATGCAATTCAAATTTGTTCAGTTAAGACGTCAAAATATCAAGAGTCTAAGTGGCCTTGTCTAATTTCTAACTTTCAATACTAACATTTTCTCAAATGTGAAAGAGCAAAACTCTTTTACCCGGCGTCCTCCTTTTTACACGTGAATAGCTAGTTCTGACTGTCAGCAGTAAAGTGGTTGATCCACTATGATAAGGTGCTATTTATAAAACGAAGTTTGCTGCAGGGTCTCGGGCTGAAGAAATCTTTTGGATAAAAGACGAAACGTTTCTACAAAGAAGAATCCGTCCAGAGGACCTTGTTAGATTTGAGCATGGACACTCTTTACCCTTGTTTTTTTTATTATTGTGTCACATTACAGAGTAAAATCTCATCTGCAATTATCGTTTTTTTTTTTTTTTTTTTTTTTTAATTCTCTGTTAATCCACAATGAAATTCACTCTCCACATTTTTCCCATCACACATGTGGAGCTGCCATCTAAGGCGCCTGGGGAGCAGCTAGGGGCCCACAGTGGGGAAGATGAGGATGAAGGAAGGTACAAGTAATTTACCTTTCCCACCCACATTTCTGATATAATAGTCAGCGGATTCAAACCAGCGACCTCCCCATTATAGGCTCGCCTTCTCTAACCTCTGTGCCACCACTCCCCACTTGTTTGTACCTCACTTTAGAAATAAATAAATGAATAATTGTCGGTTTCATTAAGTTTTTTTATGCGTCAACATGAAAATCCAGCTTGCTTTTTCAGTCACAAATGGTAAACTGAAGCAGGTGAACCTTCTGTAGCACAGCAGCACTTTATTCTTACACGAACAAACTCTGGTTATAATTTGAAAACAAGCAACAGTTTTATCCTCATCTTCTAATAACAAAAAGAAAAAAGGAAAATGGAATGGTTGTGTAGCACACGTGATGCAGAAATCCAAACAGGATTTAAAACCAGTGGCGAAGTTGCACCAGATGGACGTTTTGTTACTCTGTGATGCTGTGATTACTCAGACTGTACCAGTTTAAAACATGCTGTGGTTGTTTTATGTTGTGCAGATTTTTTTTGCTAGTTTTACAACAACAAATTTACAATTCTGTCTTAGTTTCCATGGAACACAAACATTTGTTATCCACGCAAATAAATGATTTCACCGTCTTCTCTTTTATTTACAATAATTAGTCACTTTTACATACTTCTGGACTTATCATATAAGTTGCTTAATATGTTTTTAAATAGGATTAAATTGCTCCGATGTGTATTTATGCATCTTTACTGTAAACTACACATTTTACTTTCTGTCTCTCAGTTTAAAAGCTAAATTTCTCTCTAAGGTCATGAGCCCATTTTCCATGTTTGCCACACTCCAACAGTCACGAAGAATAAGACGTCAATTTGTCCACCTAAAATGGCCTAAATAGACGAGAATACTGAGGACACAAGACATGAGACACATGTGGGTTATGCTTGGAAACAGACCAAACAACTGACTCGGACAATAAAAGACAAGCTGAAAGGAAAAAAAAACAAGATGTAAAAAATATGCTGGATATAAACGAGCACCGATCAGTGTTGGATGGTTCAGATTTGAGTTTTCTACTTTCCTGCTCATTTCTCTCGAGAGTTTTTTAACTCTGCTGGACAGCTGACCTAATTTTTATCCATTAATTTGAGAAGCTATTTTTCTCTGTCTTAGATAACGACTGAGAGCAATTCTGTCTGCATTCATCTCTATGGGTGCAATCAAGTAAAAAACACAACCTCCAGGACCTCATTGGAAAACACCAGATTGTGTGTGTGTGTGTGGGGGGGGGGGGGGGGGGGATTATCTGAAACTTTGAAAAATCAGCCGTGCTCAATGAGAATCTGACTACACTTACACTGAGCTGTGATTTGGATCTGTAAATGAAAACTGTTGCAACGTTAATCAACAAAATCAGATAAAGTGTTCATTTTACACAGCATTATATGTCCTATGTTATATTTGTATAATATTGGTACAATAATCTGCATCAATGTTTCTGCATTTTGCCATGGGGGAAATATAAACACCATTTACCAACAACTTCCACCTTGACTGATTCTCAGCAAGATGAGTGAGGGCATGAAAAGGGAGCCCTGTCCAGGTATAGATGGACATGGAGCCCTGTCCATGTATAGATGGACATGGAGCCCTGTCCAGGTATAGATGGACATGGAGCCCTGTCCAGGTATAGATGGACATGGAGCCCTGTCCAGGTATAGATGGACATGGAGTCCTGTCCAGGTATAGATGGACATGGAGCCCTGTCCAGGTATAGATGG